ATTTTGGAAAATAGCCACTGCCAAGCACAGGTGAGCTCTCAGGATAGCCATTTGTCCCAGAGGCCACTTGATCGGCTGTTCTTCCTCATGTCTAGCCAGGTAGGACCTCTTTAAAAATCAAAGTAACTGAGTCTTGAAGAATGGAGACTCAGGTGGACCCCAGGGGCGAAAAAGTCAACACCCCCCTCCCCCACTCTCCTCACAGCACCCCGTCCTGCGTGGGTGCCTGGTTGCACCCACCACATTGCAATGCTTACTTATTGGTTGCAGTCTCCCTGCTGGGCTCTGCATGCCAGAGGGAATGGGCAGCATCTGGCAGGTGCACAGCTGCACCCTCAGAGCTTAGAGTAGTGCTGGCACAGAATAGATGCTCAATAGCATTTTGGATGGGGGAATAGAGGGAGCATGAGAGGAAGCAAGACCAGGCAAGAGTCCTTGTGCTCCCGGGAGGGAGTTAGAGGATGAGACTTTAGCTGCTCATCTCTGGTCCAGTTCAGCAGCCTCAAGAAGTGTCGGCATCTCAGCAAAGGGGATCTCTTATGAGTCAGGACATGCACCTCTAGGTCCTGACCCATATTTAAAGAGAAATTCCTTTTTCTCAGTCATGCAGCTTGGGGACTAACATATTCCTCCCACTACCTCCTTTCCCTCAAAGCCACCCCACCTATCCAGGTTTTGGGTGCCATGCTCCCAGCTGTCCCAGCTGACATCCAGGGTGGCTGCAAGCATGGAGGGAAGAGCATAGCTGAGGCCTGCCCAACAGCCAGCTCCTGTGCCTTGTTGGGAGGCTGCCCCTGAGCTGCTGGCACCGTTTTCCCATGCCCACAGCTGGATGAAAGTGCCTGGGGCTAAGTCCCTCTGGGGACAGCTCTGATGGGCGTGGGGGTGGATATCCCAGCTCCCTGGCCTCTGGCCTGGGATAACGCTGCTGTGTGTGTGTTATGTCATTTCCTAGAGCCCCTGTCCATCCAGGGATCAAGCTCACAACTGCCCACTATGGTAGCTGGCTCACTGGCATCTTGAAGTGGCCGGCTCCCCTTTCTTGTAGCTCCCCTCACCGGGTATCCTCCACCTCAGGCAAACCACACGCCTCGACCCTCACACCAGGGTCTGCTTCCGGAGGAAGCCCTACGCACTTTCCTCATGGTTAGCCCTTCCCAGAGTGTCCAGAGGACTGCAAGTGGCAAAACCCTGGGAAATGGGTGCCAGCCAGCACTGTGGGGCCCTGGCATGTGTGCCCTCCCGGAACTTCAAGTTGCCCATCCCTCTATCCCTAATGCCCACTGTCTTGGCATGCTTCAGGCATTCAGAAAACGCTAGGTTCACACGGAGCTCCGGCTGGTCCCAGGGAGCAGCCAGGGCCTGGGTTTAGGTCCCATCCATCAATGCCTGTGACTCCACCAAAGGAACAGCTCATAATGTGCAAAGTTCAAAGACCATTACTGTCTGTTACTCTCCCTTCATCTGGTAATGATTTCCCAGAACACTACCCTGGAGTTTAGTGCTGAGGGCTGGAAATGGTCTCCTGTCTGCACAAACAGATAAATATAGGTGACCTTCCCACGTGATGGATTGGGCAGATGGCGTCCGGGTACATGGGAACATGAAAATGATACTTGGCTTGTTGGGAGATGAATGTTCCTTCACACAAACTATATGTCCCTTTGCCTTCCCTTCCCTAGTGGGTTCGCTGCCAGAATAATAATTGCAGTATTAACAATACATTGGCATTTCCTGAACATTTATTATGTTCTAAGCACAGAGTGAAGCACATTGCCCCATTTACTCCTTGCATATCGTTCTCTAGGGTGGCACGATTATACACCCACTCCATCTATAGGCAAGGCAATTGAGGCTTCTAGAAGGTTCAGTAACCTTCCCAAGGGCTCACCTTGTTAAAGAGGTGAGTGGAGCATAAGGGCTCACCTTGTTAAAGAGGTGAGTGGAGCATTAAACCCAACTCTAGGCCACAATGCTTGGCACCGGACTAGCCACATCATTTGTTCAGCAGTTATTAACAATTTTAAGATGGTGACGGCAGAGCCTAATAGCAACCCTGGGGCCCTCTGAGCGTGATGCAACCCTGGGTCCCTCTGAGCGTGATTCTCTGGGAGGCGGAAGAGAGTGATGTGAATGAGGGAGGACGAGGACCCCGGTGGGGAATGCTGTTTACCCCCAGAGACTGAGCAATAGCTCACATAGATTAAAAGCCATTCAGTGAGCCTGGATATTGGTCAGAGAGCTGGTCACTTTCTGTCAGAAGCTAAATCAGTTCATCGGATTAGAACCCCACAAATACTTTCCCTCAGCTGGGCCTGCAAAGAGTCCGTCCTAAAGAATGTGAGGGAAGGTGGCCGGCTCCAACATGGTACATGGGAAAGGGCCTGTGTCTTGAAGCCACAGACATGAAAACGGATCCTAGCTCATCTCCCAGCTTGTGATTTGGGGGAAGTTCCTGGACCTCTTTGAGATTCCGTTTTCTTATTTGTATTATGGGAGAGCTACCACCTCTCAGGGTAGGACCTGGTATAATGGAGGCAGTGATACAGTGTATATAAAGGTCTCAGAATACAGTAAGCGCTCATCATAGTTTAGCGGCTGTTTTCACCGCGAAGACTTGGGGACAGTTGAAAGAGCACATGATGTGAAGGTGGGAGATACAGTCGAGCCCTGAACACTGCCTCCCATCTGTTATGGTGTCAACTGGGCAAAGTCACTGAACTCTTTTCAGGGTCAGCATTCTCTTCCGTAAAGTGGACCCAAAATAATGTCCACAACACATAGGATTCTGAGAGCCGCACATAAGTGAGAGATTATGAAACTGGGAGAGGCGATCATTTCTATAGCCGGTCTGTGTTTGTTGTTATAACTTATAAATGGTTAAGGTTGGGGAGGGGGCTTAAGAGAGGGTCACCGTCACCCTCCCCAGATTCCCACTGTCCCCATGGAAGCTTCGGGGCCTCCTTGCCTGAGCTCTCCCACAGGCGCTAAGTGATCTAAGTGATTTCTCCTCTAAAAGTTTTCCACATTTCCACATTCTTAACCCAAACTTTGACGCCATTCCAATGCCTGCTTTACAGTCGAACCCAGAGGGTACTGAAAAGACAGCAATAAATCAGGCCAAATTCCACATAGCTGGTAGAAGCTCCTCCATACTGATCTCCAAGGCTTTCTGTATTTTATAGGACATTTCCAATTATAAATTGAAGTTTGAGATGGTTTATGTTTTGCTGGAGATGCGTCCACCCTAACCAAATTGCTTTGTGCTTTAAGAAATTCAATATACATAAAGGATTCAATTTTCTTTGAAAATATGATGTGTATATAAAAACATTAAAATTTGAAATTCTTTCTGAAACTTTAAGGAAGGGCACAGTGGGAGGTAAATTGAACATTGTTTAATCGTATATACATATAATATACAGAGATACGCACCTGCTCACAGCTGCCTGAAATATCACCATTGTCATTTACATTTAGAACACTTTTCCAGCCCATCTTGAATTCCAGTCACTCATATGCAATGCCCGGGTACCACAGATGGAAAAGGAGAATCATTTTTCTGCTCTGCTCCATCTCCAGTCTCTTTAATAGCTTTCCTCATTGGTTCTCCTAACTTGTTCTGAACACCAGCTTGTTTAAGATTTCTGTAAACATCAAACTCAAATTCCAGGGTCTCACTCACCAGAAGCCATCTCTCCATCAGAGCAGCCTCCTGAGAGGTGCCACAGGAAGTTCCGCCCGGAGTGATCTGACCCACCTCCACCCACTACTCTCTGATTTTCCGGTGCTGTTTTCACCCCTCTGTCGCCACCCTTGCCCCCAAATGCCCTCCAGCACACACAGGGAATTCCCTCTCCTTTTTACAGAATGCATTCAAATTCCAGAAGAGAGAGGGTCACTCCTGCCCCTGGGCATCTGATGAAGTGCATAGAGATCCAGCTCCTTGAAGTTGAAGGGAGGTTTTAGGCACCTTCCTTACAGTTATTCACCTGGTAGTCTAGGCAGGTTACCATGACAACACTTCTAGCACCTCATACAACTACATGTTATTGATACATCCCATCAATTCAGGCGGAGGGTGGGAGGGCAGGTAACCAGTCGAACAAGCTATCCAATGTTCATCTCCCATCTGGCCACTGAGTGACTCTTTCACTTACTTGTTTTGCCATAATCTGGACACAGCCTCAGTGATAGACTTAATATGGCGCTTTTTCACTTAAATGCATTTTAAAGCTTAAAATCAAAGTACAGCCTTACACTAGGGATGTTTCTTCTTTGCTCTCCAGTTTCTCAAGCATTATACTTAGGACTAATTTCTGCTGCTGGTCACAGAATGCTTTAATTAGTATCTACTGGGGCAGAAAGGGAGCTCTAATTGTAAAACCTTCCCTGACAGAAAGGTTAAATGTGGGAAAAAGATAAAAGGAGCTCTGTAATAACTCTGAGTCATTTTCATAACAGTAGGTACAAGTATTTCCAGGGAGGAAAATAAAATGTCTTGCCTTTGGCCCTTTGACTGAGGACAAAGGTTTCTCCACGCACATCTAAGGAAAGGGGAGAAAAAAGGCCTACCCATTTTCCAAAATGGTTCTGATTAAAATGCAGTTATGAAAAGAAATAACTGAGGAGCCTGCAGTGGGACTTTACTGTCCTTCACAACCACACTGCTTCACAAAGTCCAGCCTGGGGTCTCACAAGGGTGAGCTAGATATTTACATTGTGTCCCACGGTAGCCATGCGTTAAAGACTTAGATGTCGGTCACCCTTGAAGGATCACCTTTAGGGACAAGGGGAGATATTTCCATAGTTTGCAATACCCCAGTCATGTTCTGAGTTGCATCTTTCCAGCTCCTGCTTCTACCCAGGGAAATAATATGTCAATGATGATGCATACCAACAACAAGTTGGAGTGGCAATACACAGTCTCTCTCATCCCCAAAGATCACAGTATGCCACTTCCCAAGCCATTATGCTAATGATAAGCCAACTTAACATACCTGTAGGCGATCCTTCCATGACATGGCCAACATAGGGGCCCTCTCTAAAGCTTGGTCTATTGTCGTTCTGATCAATCACAATGACTTCCAGAGGGACTGGCCCCTCAAGAGTTCTGCCGTTGACATCAGTGGTCTCCACAAATAGCTATTGGAGCAAAGAGATGGAGAAAGAGGGATTAATTCATTATGAAAATTGAAAGCAGGTTCTCTGGAGAAGGTTGGTTATATCAGCAATTGTATGAGCCCTCAGCAATATTGTGGTCTCAATGGATAGACACTGGGACTAGAATAGAAACTAAACATTAGAGAATAAAAGACAAAGATCAATTCATGGGAGGTCCCCCTTGGGAAATTTACAATTAATTTATCAAATCTGCAAAGGAAGTCCAAAAAAAGAAGAAGAAAGAAAACACTCGTAATCAGCCATAGCTAAGAAAATGTGCTTACATTGTTTCTGTTTTTCCAACATCATTATGCTTAAATGGAATGTTATGCTAATAAAAATAATTGACTAAGCAGTTATGAACATAGTACATTAGAAAATAACTGACAGTGTTTATAGTAATGTTTGGGAGAAATTCAGGGCAGTAAGTATGTATAGAGAGCCTTCCTGGTGCAAGGAAGCCATTTGCTGGGTCCTGAATGACACCTCAGGATTCCTGCCCACCAGGCCCTTATAATCTATGGGGAAATGTCATAATTCCACGAGACACTTCCAATACAGAATAACCTTCAGATCTCAAGGATGAAGAAAATAATAGCATAAAAAAACATTAGCTTTATTGTCTTGGAAACAGGAAATTATGTCATGACATTTCCAGTGAATCACAGTAACCTTATGCTCTTATTTTCTGAGCCTAATTCAGCCTGGATTGAACTCGGCAGAGATGGCAGCACTTCTCGGTGGATATCAGTGGTGGTCCCTGCATTGAAGGGGGTTGAGCATTTTAGTCAGAAAAGGGTCTCTACAGTGGGAATCCTCAGGAAGAGGCCTCTGCAGCTGGAATCCCAGCATAACATTAAAAACACTCATTATTAGGAATAATAATCAATATTATCCAGGGCTTACCCAGGCTCTCTACTATATTAACTCACTTGATCCTCACAGTAATCCTAGGACCCTTTTGTGAGGAGGGAACAAAAGCAAACAGAGATTATAGGTGGAGTCTAGATTGGACCCCATGAAATCAGGCTCCAGAGATTACATTTTGAACATACATAATGTTTCTAAGTCACTTAATGCCTGTCACATAAAATATCTCAAGAATATTATAAGGCTCTGGCCAGGTAGCTCAGTTGGCTGGAGGGCCGTCCCAATATACCAAGGTTGTGGGTTTGATCCCTAGTCAGGGCACATACAAGAAGTAAGCAATGAATGCATAAATGAGTGGAACAACAAATTATTCTCTCTCGCTCTCTCTCTCTCTCCCCCCCCCCAATCAATAAATTTAAAAAATAAATATTCAATTAGCTCCTGCTATTGTTGCTACTGTTATTGTTATCAACACCAATGTAAAAACTAGCCCAGCCCTGGCTGGTGTGGCTCAGTTGGTTGGAGTATCATCCATTACACCAAAAGGTTGTGGGTTTGATCCCTGGTCAGGGCACCTACAGGAGGCAACTGATGGCTCTCTCTCTCTCTCTCTTTCTCTCTCTCGTCAATTAAGGGGAAAAAAACTAGCCCAAATTAGGAAAATAAGAGAGAAACACCTTTGTTACAAACCAGCACAGTACCCTACATAATGGTGCTGTAATTGGTATCATTCTTTTGGAAAGCAGCATGGGGAAATTCAACAAAAAGCTTTGAAAACACATACATTTTGTTCCATTTGTATGCCACTCCTGGTTATATTTGAGTTAGGTTGTGCTACATATATGAAAATATTCACTCTAGTGTTATTTCTAGTAGTGAAATAACACTGGCATCCACTAAATGTCCAGTGAAAGGGGACTAGTTGAATGAATGTTTATGTAACAACATGCTAGAATACAGCCATTAGAGAAAATGATTATTAAATCTTGTTGATCTACTAAGAATATTGTGTGAAAATAAGCTAAATAGCATGTGCAACATATACATATGGACAGAATTTGAACTTAGTAAGCAAAAGTAAAACCAGGTATGCTTGGGTAGAGAGATATAGTTTTCATTTTTTTTTCTTTAACAATCTTTTCACTAGCAAATTAAAACACACACCCACACTTTGATTTCTGGAGCAAACAAAATAACATACGTATACTTTAATTAAAGGGGCAGAGCCTTTAACATCTGCATAAATAGAAAAATCTTAAATAGAGTTCACTCTTATACTTTTACTAGGGGTCCAGTGCACGAATTTGTGTACCTTAAAAGGAACTGTGGGCCATGAGGCTGCAGTGGGCACAGAGGCAGGTCTTGGCCCATCCTCCACCCCCCGCCCAGCCCCTCCCACTGCAGCATCTGGTCCCCAGTCTGCCAGCACCCCAGCTCCCACCACTGCTGCTCCCACATGCTGACAGCGGCAGCCCTGCTCGCACCTGTTGACAGCACGGAGCAATTGGGGCTGGTGCCCTCAGCAGGTGTGAGTGGGGCCGTCACTGGCAGTGGGTGTGAGTGGTGGCTTCCAGCCCCGATTGCCCCTCAGGAGCAGGAGGAGGTGGAGAAGCTCTGAGGGGTGATCAGGGCTGGCAGCTTCTGCTTGCACCCACTAACAGCACCGAGCAACCGGGGCCGGGGCTGGGGCCGGGCACCAGTAGTGGGTGTGAGCAGCAGCTCCCGCAGCAGGTGCGAGCACCTGGGGGGACCACGGCGCGTGGGAGCAAAGAATTTTCAGTAACTACCAGAGGCTTGCCCTGATGACAGCGACTGGCACCCCGCCTTGGTCTGATGCCCCCGCTCACCTGCTCCACCCTCCCACCTTGGCCGATGCCCGCCATGTTCTGTGCTCTGCCACCTGCTGCCGACGCCCGCCATGTTTTGCACACGCCCCCTGGTGGTCAGTGCACATCATAGTGACCAGTTGTTTGGTTGTTCTACTGCTCAGTCTATTTGCATATTAGCCTTTTATTATATAGGATGCTGCTTTTAAAATCTACTATGAGAATACTGCTAAAGAAAGAAAATTAAAACAAAGCCTTGGGGTAAATTCATCAATAATGAAGGTCTGGCCTTTTGTCCTACCAAAATAGCCAGAGTTGACTTTAACTTAACCAAAAACCTATGTCTAAAGACAACACGTATGTTGGATCTGAATCTTAAGTTTTCTGTTTGTTCACAAACTGGCCCCCGTACATGAAGGGTGTGGAGAGATCTAAGAAAGAGGTGGACCACTCCAGATAGTAGGTAGCAGTTTAATAAGTAAGGGAACCTATATATGAGACTTGTCTTGGAGACCACAAGACAAGTAGATCTCTGTGTCCACCCACCAGGATCTTGAACGTTTATGTGGGTTCAGTCACATATGCCATCCAGATGGACTCAACAGCACCTTACTGTCTCAAGGCTGTGTCCTTGAAAAAGCTCACACTGTGGGAATGGTGGGCAGAACATACATTCCAAGGGCAGGAGAGGGATGAGGAGCCTGACTGCATGGGTCCAGCTTATGGGTCAACGGGTAGTCACATCCTCTTGATGACCTCCTCCTACACTTCCACTTTCTGCAAGACTCAGGTCGTATAAGAAGCACAAGTAGGACAAAGGAACAGAATTCACATTTGCCAAATATGCAAATATACTGGAACTGGGAGGGGCAGGCTCTAGATCCATCTCAACATAATGGGAAGACAGACAGACACTAAGGAGATATAATTGATTAGGATGAATGAAAAATGTTGCACCGAATCTCATAAAATGAATTATGTAAGTAGACAACCTGATAGCAGTTTATGTCATTCCAGTACCCAGAGTTTGACTCCTGAATTTTTTACTGGAAAACAATATTGCTAGATGCACTTTGGGTTATCGAGAGAGAGAGAGAGAGAGAGAGAGAGAGAGAGAGAGAGAGAGAGAGAGAGAGAGAATATGAATGTGTGCTGGCAGGGGAAGTACCTATTTTAGATACAATAGTTTAGAAGATTCTCTATAGACTTTCAGGCCCTGCCCAGAATCTACTTATTGCTGAAGGAACATTTTGACTGAGACTTGAAAGACAACAAAACAGAAGGAGCTGGCCATGTGAAAATGCATGGAAAAGAGTTGGAGACAGCAGGTGTAATGGCTTCTAGCTTAGCATTATATTAGGGATGGTCTTGGTACAAGATGAAGTCAAACTGGGGCTCCACTCAATTCCAAAGGAGTAGACTAAAGTCGATTCTGCTATAACATTCTTTGCTGGGTAAACAGAGATGAGGGAGGGGAAATGATATCATGCTTGTTTCTAACAAAGAAAACCATAGTAGACTGAGTAAAATATAGAATAGGAAATGCTAGTGCCTTACTAAGTAGTCCATGCATTTTCCAAATGGCATATATTAAGTGTGGATGAAAATTAAGCAGTCATGAAGAAATTATTAGTAAACATGACCTTATCTACCCAATCACTTACTATAAAGAAATCTGACATTCCAGTGAGCTTAAATAACTATTCTCTTATGAAGGTCACATCCACAGTTAACAAAGGTGAAATCTTCTGAAATGGGACTCCTAACTTTCAGAAGGTACCTCTAGCATCAGAGGATAAATGTTTAATGATGTTTTCACCTTCCTTTCCTCTACTTAATTGAAATTCCCAAAACCCACAAGTCCTTAGTCTAAAAAGACTGGAACAATGTTTGTTTCCTTTGAGTCACAAGATCTATTCTAGGGACTGTTTGGGGCTCCAGAAATAAAACAAACCGGAATGCATTCTAAGGGAGGCATTCTCATGCCTGTTCTTGATGTTTAAAGTGAGATGCCAATTAGTAGAAACCTACTGTGAGAAAAACAAACAGGCAGCCATTGGCAGAAAGCAATGGAATAATTGCTCACAGGAAATGGAAATCACCCAGTTTCTCACTGACTATTTCTGCTCCATCTTCTAGGACTGCTATTCTTAATGTGAGTGGTTGATCTTCTTGGGAATAATGAGGGGTGACATATAAAGAGGTCCACTGTGGAACCAGAAAGAGAGAAGATGCTCAATAAATTAGAGCTAGAAACAGTTGCCCAAGTTACTTGGACAAGTAATT